ATTATAATAAATTATAATAAGTTATAGTAAGTTATAGTAAGCTATGATAAGTTATAATAAGTTATGATAAGTTACAGCAAGTTGTGACAAGTTGCAGTAAGTTGCGACTTGTAATAAGTTATGGTAAGTTGTGATTTTTATTAAATTTTTTAATAAGTTGTAACATATAGTTGCAACATAAGTGTTGCAATATAGTAATTGTAACTATCATCTTTAATATGAACAATTCAAAATTTTCTCAAAAGAAAAAGTCTTATAACCTAATCATGCAATGACCATTCAAACCTTTTAAATTTTGAGTATAAGCAAGTATTAAAATGGGTTGTTAAGTAAAATAACAAAAAATCAGCTGAACAACTCAAAAAACTATTTAATAAAAGAACTAAACTTGATGTTTTTACTAAAACTATTAGGAGAAATTTACATGAAATTAATTTTTTTCTTGCATTTCAACATTCAAGCCTTTACTTACTGATTGTAAAAGAGAAAATTTCTAAACTGGTATATTGAAAGAAAGAATTAGTTTATTTAAAAATGAAAGTCTATTATTTAAAGTGATGAAAGTCACTTTATACTATTCAAGAATAATGATCCAGATCATGTTTGGAGAACTCCTGGAACAAAATTTAATATAGAAAATATGGCTCCTTCAGTTAAATATGAAGATAGAGATTTGATGATGTGGGATTGTTTTTCTGGTAAAAGGCTTAGGTCCATTAGTAAAAGTGGAAGGAAAAATAAACAGATTTGATTATATTCAAATACTTGAAATTCATTTATTACCATAATTAGTAGAGATTTTGATAAAAAAAGATATTTGTTTCAAGATGACAATGTCCCTATTCACACTGCAAAAGATGTTAATGAATGGATTGCAGAAAGAAAGATCAGAACTTTACCTAATTGGCCAAGTCAATTACCAGATTTGAACCCTATTGAACATTTATGATCAGAACTGGAAAGATGTATTAGAAACTGTTTGACTTTACCTAAAAATATAAGGAAACTTGAGACAGTATTACAGGAGGAATGGAGCCAAATTCCCAACAATGTTTTAATGAATTTAATTAAAAGTATGTCTAGAAGGGTCGAAGCATGTATTGCAAGCAAGGACTGGCCAACAAAGTAATAATTTTATATATAGATTCATAATAAGTTAGACTATAGTATATAAAAATTTTAGTCCCAATTATTATGTACACTTTTGAGCAATTAATAAAGTTAGGGTGACCGATACTTTTGTCCAGGTAGTGTATGTCGGACGTTTAGGGTTAGGGTTAGGAGAAATACCATAGAAAATTTCTTTTCCATTTACGAATTTTCAAAATAGTGCGCAATATTGTATTTTCCAATTCAATTCACAAATTCATCTATTGACAACGAAAAAGCATTAAGCACATAAGGTTCACTCGTGATAAAACTCAGAGATATATACATAAAATGTCGTATTATAATAGTCGTATGGTACTGATTCAAGTCATGAAGTTGCAGAAAGTATTATGGACAAAAATATAGTACACATATATACGAATAATAAAATGTTATGATTTAAATGTAATTTACACTATTCGAATCCAAAGGCAAGTGCTTTTATTGAATCTAGTTTTATATGTATTCAAACGAAAGGGGTTACTTATACGTATGTTATATTGTCGTCCTTTACTAACATTAAAGTAAAAATAGTTTTTAATTTCTTTAGATAAAACAAAATATTGTATTTAACAGTGTTCCTTCCCCATGAGAAAAATACACCTGTAAACCCACGAAAATCCATTAATTAAAGCAATGTAATTGTATATTATAATCGCTGTAAACACCTTGTTTTACAGGGATTTTCCTCTGAAAAACCCTGCAACCCGTTATAAATTACATTGAACAACAGGTTTAAATCCCCCGCATTATATCTCTGTATATCCCTGAAAACCAACAAGTAATTACAGGTGTAAATTTACAGGTTTTTGCGATTTACCTATGTTTTTATACCATATTATCATATTATTCCATGTATTTTACAGGTGTTTACAATATACTTATCCCTGCATTTATTTGAAATATAACAGGTAATTATAGATAAATATTTACTGTACTGTAATTACGGATATTTTAATGATTTGTTTATGAATACATGTATTAATTAACAGTTTCTAGAACAGTTTGTGAAGAACTTCGGAAAATCATGAAAAAGTAACCTTTTGCTTACTGGAGTTTCAGAAGATGCAACTTTCGAAGCTCTTTTGGCTAATTTTTTGGATGTTGGCTTTTCAGATATATACGCTGATTTTTGAGATGTTTTTTTTTCAGATAATATTTTCTAGATTTTCTGTATCTGTAATTAACCAAGTATTATTGCAAACAAAATCGTATATAAACCCGATATAGTTGCTGATTTTGAGACGTTGGCTTCTGAGGCATTGACCTTCGAGACATTAGCTTTGGAAGCAACAAATTAATATTTTCTAGGTCTTCTGTATCTATATTTATAATATGTAATTAAACAAATATTATCATAAAGCAAATATTACAGTATATATTATATACAAACCTGATACTTGATTATTGTTGCTGGTCACGTCTTCATAAGTATTATTTTGATTCAAATATTCTTCAATAATATTATCAAAGTTTTCTTCATTAATTTCTTCTGAAATTTTTTTCTTTTTCATATCACGTTTGGCATTAAGCTTTGGTGCTTTTTTACATATGTGGCTATAAAGAAATAATAATAAAGCTAAAAAAAAACAATCCTATTTTTAATTAATTTAAAGATTACAATTTACTTACAATGGTTTTGTAACTTGATTATTAAAAAATATGTTTATACATCCATTGGTTCCAAAAACTTTTCCGTATTCTTTATGAGCTTCATCACACCAATTATCAACAACACGTGGACCCATGTCTCTAATTGTAATATTTTTTTGATATGGTCGCAGTTTTTAAGCAATGATCAAAATAATTTTATTAAGATGTGCTGGGTCAATACCTTCTAGTATTATTTTAAGAGGTACCTTTCCACCTGGTACAGTATTTGCCATTGATTTGTGAATTACAGGAACAGCCTCAATATTATTATTTTCAGCTTCGAGCTTGGCTATTTTTTCCTTAAGAACATTAACGTTTGTGCTAACGCTTTACAATAGTTTTGATAAAACTTGACCTTTTGTTGTATAGTCGCGTCAGGTAGAAATGTTTCAGATAAGTCAGAATCAAACATTGCTTTATTATAATTTTTAGAAAAAAATATTAGTATTATGTTTGCTTTTATTAATCATTTGCTCTTGTTACATGTATATATTTTTTATATTGCCTAGCTTTTGTTTGATTGGTTAGATTTGTTTGATCTAATAATTTGATTTACTGTTACATGTATTACATGAAAACTATTTATTGTTTTATATTTAAAGTAAACTCCTTTCACATATAATTTGTATTGATATTGTCTAAATTGAACGGTTAAAACTGGTTCTTATACAGTTAAATCTGCCAAAATATAAAAGTTTAATCTCTAAATGCATATTTTAATTTGATTTCACAATTACAATATCTCTTTAAATTTAACATTTTTCAGTTCCGAATTATTTTTATGTGATAATAAAAGTGAAATTATGCATTTAATATATATAAATTTATGTTATAATTATACGATAAGTTTGTATTAAAAATTATAATGCAGTATGCAATTATACTTATTAAAATTTATATTATATTATAGTTATAAATTGTTAAATAATATATATAATAATAATTAGTTTATAATATAATTATCTTTTTTATTATAATTATAAAGCAATTAGGTAATTATTAAATGATTTTTATATAATTAATATCTTTTTATTATAACTATATATATATATATATATATATATATATATATCTAATTTTCTAATGCTTTAATATTTATAATGTTATCATTATAATAAAATATATTACAAAATGTGAAAATTGATAATAATAATAAAATCTGTTCTATGAATGTTTGAATAATTTTAATGCATTAATACAAGTATAAAGCATGTAATTATATTTAAAAACCTGTAATACTATATATATAATAATATTACATTAAAATATTTGTTAAAGAATGATACATGTGTTCAGAATGTGTATCAATTTCACTAATTAAGATGTATTCTAAAAAAAATATCAAGAAAAATATATAACAAATATATAACAAGAAACTTCGATAATATTAGAAGAATTATATTTTTAAAATCTTTTAATATGCATATATCTCAAAAGTAAGTATAGATTCTGCTTTTTATTTGAAATTTATAAATATATATTAATATTATGCTTTAAATAGATCTTTATATTGAAAAATAAAAATAAAAATATCTAACATGCTGAATATAAATCTGAATATGAATCTGAGTATAGATTTGTACATGAATATAATAAATTTAATTATAAAACTAATATGAATTTGAATATAAATCTAAGTTTAAATCTAATAAATATTATGAATCTAAATATAAGTCTTTTAATATTAAGCTTGAATTATAAGTATTTAAATTACTAGTAATAATTCTGAGATTTTTATTAATAATAATTTCATTATTAGAACATCTGAAAAAATTGAAAATCAAGATGAATTAAATTATTGAAATAATTATTTAGAAGATTTATATAATAAAGAATCAGAATAATAGAGAATAGTATTTTAATTGAACCAATAAATATTATAAATATAAATATAAGTTTTTTAAATATTAATTTTTATATTTATAATTAGCTTATATTAATTATTAGTAATTTAAATGAAGATATAATTAAAGCATTACTTTTTCTTGAGTGATGACAATTTTATGTAAGTTAATAAAAATATGTACAAGTATATTCATTTGGGTATACTATTACAGGATTTCTGTAAGATTAATTCTGATAAAGTATGTTAGTCTAAATTGGATAATATAATATCTTGCTGATATCATTATTAATGGATTTTATATGAGAAATTTAAGATAATCATAACTTTATGAGTATTCTTATTTAATTATTATTTTTTATAAGAATTCTTTTGAAAATAGCTAATTCTAAAATATGCTTTTATAAACAAAAGTAATTAGAATAATTCTAAAACTTAATAATAATATATTTTCATATCTTAGAGTAAAAGTTATGATATTCAAGTTTTCTATATGAATCCTTGTTATCATTATTGAGAATTTATTTTAATTAGTTATTAGTTATTTTATATCTTAAAAGAATATTATCTCACATATTATCACTACATTTAAGAGCAGTTCAAATCTATTCATTTCTTACCTTATTTAAAAACTCTGATAATTTGCTTTGAATTATGTAATGATTTAAGTATAACTTTTTTTCAATTATTTAAATTTGTATTTCATGTTGGAGATAAGTTATTATTCTTTGATTAGATTATGATAAATTCATTTGTGATAATAAAAGAATGACTGACATTTACTTTATTATAATCAATATTTAATTCCATCTTTAATTTCCACTTCATAAAATATGTTTATATCAATATATAAGTATGGAAACTTGAATTTAAATTCTATTAAATTTAGTATGTCAAAAAACTTGATAAAACTTTTTATTTCAATACTTGATATTTAAAGTTGGTGTACTTTTTAATATCTATTTATAATTAATATTATAGTATTTTTGTATTGTTATTATTAGCACTGAAGTTCTATATAAGTTATTACATATATTAAGTTTTGATCTTTCATGTACAATGCCTGTCAAAAGTTTTCTCCCTTCCACACTAGGTCAATAAGAAGATAAGATAAATGAAATATCTTTTTTCTATTTAAAAGTTCTGATTTCATATGACAAGATTAGTACATGATATAATCACCCTTGATTTCAATTAAAGCTTTTACATGCTTTCTTACACTTGAGGCTAATTAAGCTATATATCTTTAGGTAAATAATATCATTCTTTTTGTAATTCCCTTTTCAAACCCTTAACAGTTATAATTTTTTTTGCCAGATTATTTTTCATAAGTCTCCAGACATTTTTAATTGGATTTTGATCAGGAGATATCAATAGCCATGAAAGAATCTTTATATTCATTTTCTTCTTTTATATTTTCATGATTTTTAAATAATGCTTGGAATCATTATCTTCTTGAAGGATCTACTGATCATTTTCCTGACCAAAAAGTTTATTAGCAGATGGCAGAAGATCTATTTCATATATATTTAACAGGAAATTGGCATTGAGATTTCTCACAAAGCAAACCAGCTTGCCAAAGCCTGCAGATAAAAACATTTCCATATATGAATCTTTAGAGAATACTTCACAAAATGTCTTATCTTTCTTCTTCCAGGAAACTGCCAAGTCTATTTTATGTTTTGATTTAGATAAAAGATACTTTCATCCAAAAAATCATCTTGTTCTTGTCAAAGTTCCTATATTTTTTCATCCATTCCAGTCATTTTTGTTAATATTTCTCTGTGATAAGAGATTTCAAAAGCTTGCTCATGTATTTGCCTTTCTCTTTATGAAGATAATATTGTATGATACATATACTAATATCAACATTCTGCTTAATCATCTCCTTTTGAATTTCTGGGGCCATTTTTTTGCAAGCTCCACTATCCACTTGTCTTGTCATTAGGTGGTCACTTTTTGTCAGCCTGTCTTTGGTTTGTCACTCAAATCTTGGTTTTCTCTTCATCTTTGGACCCAATAACAGACTGTTTTTTCATCACAATAAACTGTTTTAGCTGTCTCATGTATTGGCAGCTTGGAACCTTTTGGATGGGTGTGCAAAAAGATGATTTCATATCATTAACTTAAATTTAAAGGCATTTTTTTAGGTCTTTTTTTGTGTATAATGGAGCTTTTGTTTTTTATTAATGTATAACCCCCTAAAATGCAGGTGTGATCTATATTTGGGCTATACTACATGCATGCAAAATTACAGTGTCATGCATGTAATTGTTTGGAAATTACGGGGGGATACTTTTGACGGGCACTGTAAATGTACAATCGGCGGAAGAAAATTACCCAGACACAACAAATTACTGTTGATCCAATTCACATGAATTCGCCATCATTTTGACTAGACAAATAGTGGTAAAATCACGTGAATTGAATCATTGGACATTGAATACACGTTCCGAGATGAGCGAATTGATTTTTTGACTGATCGGTTGCTTCAAACAATGTCATCTGATTACCTTGTCTCGATGGATCAGAATATTTTTCAAAAAATTAGTTTGAATACAACAAATATTTTCCAAATTTCATACAGAATTGAAAAAAAGTAAGGCAACTGCTAAGGGAATTTATAAGAAACCAATAAAAAACACATTCAGACATATATTAAAAATTAGTGTAAGTTAACAAGATATCAAATATTAGCTGTCACATATATTTTAGGTTTAATTACAAACATATTGCAGGTGGTATAATGGCAGTCACTAATTAAAATATCGACATACTGTACATGTATAAAAAAATAAACGCTAATTTCTTTAGTAATAGCCAAATGGTTTTAATTTTATAAAAACATGGTCTTATATAAAATACCTTTAAATAGTGATAACATTAGAATTATTTTTTAAAATATTAAAAGGTATTCATTAATATATTTAATTAATATTTGGAAAAAATAAAATTCTAAACTTGTCACTATATGTAAATGCGCCTTTTATAAAAGATATTGTAATTAACGTTTATTTTTATACAAGTTAATTAAAGTACATGTAATCAAAGATTATTTGACACATGTGAATTCACAATATTGTATGTGTGTACCATAAAATATAATTTGCTTGAATTGCTGACATTGAAAAATTAATGAAAAGAAAAGAACTGTTGAGGAATTTCTCGAATTTATAAATTCTATCAATAGTTGCTAGAAATTGAATACTTTTAATTTTTTAATATCACAATTTTTTTTAGAATAAAATTATTGCAATATAACAAGCCCAACAGTCAAACCTTACTACGAAATTAAATTCAATTCCAGTCGTTACAGTACGTAAAATATGTCACAAGCGTACCATAACATAGGATTTTTATTTCTAAAAATCGCTATCCAAATATTATTTGGCACAAATGTTATTCATAAAGAAAATGCTTATTAACTCTAAATCGTGACATGGGATCTAATATTTCTTGAAAACAACAAAAACGCTACTTTTTATAAATACTGTCTGATGAAAAAAAAACTTATATATAATATTATATATTATCGGTAGAATAAAAAATTAATCTAAAATTTATGAATA